TATATTTATATATATAATACATTTTTGTGTGTGTAAAGGCATCCAGAAGGTTCTAGAAGCCCAGACTCATGGTTATGGTATTGTTTCAAGGGAGGATGGGAAGGTGTGGAGGGTGAAAGAAGACAAGCAAAGTATAGCTCGGTGGTTGCTGATTCTACAGGTCCATCTGTCCGCCTCTGTGTCCACAGGAGCTGTGACCATTTCTCAACCAAACCGCACAGTGGAAATACCAGTGAAAGATGGGGCCATGCAGACAGCTTTTCTCGTGGTCTCTTAACAGTACTATGTCCAAGTCGTTCACATTGGACTGTTGTTGTGGGCAGTCTGGAAGGGACCTAAGTCACATCTACAGGCAATATATACAGTGTCCTGTGGCAACACTGTGTCATTTTACACCAGAGACATAAGGATTCTAGGATGTTGGATCTGTAGGAGCTTGGATCCAGTCCCCTGTGGATACCAAGGAGGAATGTATTGCTTGTGATTGTTTTGTTTCTTGAGACAGGGTCTCCCAGCTGGCCTGAAACTCACTATGTAGATCATGCTGGTCTTGATCTCACAGAGATCCACCTACCTCTGCCTGCTGAGTGCTGGGATGAAAGGCATGAGCCATCACACTGGCTTAAAATTTATTTTTAACACTATTAATAAAAAGCCAAAATCCATCAAGCAAAGTAACTGGTTCATGATGGACATCCAATCCCTACAACCCTAGGTGGGAGGGTGGGGCTTGTATGGATGGGGTGGGGCGTGAGTGTGAGCTGGCGGGGCCAGGAGTGAGCAGGGCAGGAGCTGCAGGGGCAGAGCTTGAGCAGGAGGGCGGGGACTCTGGGGCTCACCTGTGTGCTGCTGCTGGAGTCGCTCTGCAGCCTTAGGTTCTGGCGGCCTGAGCTGCAGCTCTGTGAGGACTGAGGGGTGGGAGGGTGGGGCTTGTATGGATGGGGTGGGGCGTGAGTGTGAGCTGGCGGGGCCAGGAGTGAGCAGGGCAGGAGCTGCAGGGGCAGAGCTTGAGCAGGAGGGCGGGGACTCTGGGGCTCACCTGTGTGCTGCTGCTGGAGTCGCTCTGCAGCCTTAGGTTCTGGCGGCCTGAGCTGCAGCTCTGTGAGGACTGAGGGAGACAGGAACCCATGCAACAACTAGAGGCGCTGCGGGGGGGGGGGGGGAGGAAGCTTGGTGGGGGGGGGGGGGGGGGGGCAGGAAGCTTGGTTCCATCCCTGCTCCATCTGAACTAACCGTCTCCCAGAGTCTCAGCTTCCTTGCTCCCCACAGAGCCTCCTCAGAGACAACCTCGGCCTTGGGCCACCCCCCCCCACCACCACCTTTAACTGCTCTGCTGCAATCCGGGGTCCTGGCCAGGATTTACATCCATCCTGGAGTAACATGCACATCTGTGACTCCGTGTTTTCTCTTCTCCCGGCACATTTCTGCTCTTATGTGGGTCCCTGCCCACTCTGCACTCTCTGACACCAGGCTTGGCCATGCGGTAGGGTTTGACCAGTGATGAGCACCAGCCTAAGGCACATGGGCATGTGGGCTCTCTCTCTTAGCTTCTGCTTCCACAGTCAGCACATGTCTTAGTTACCCTGTTGGGGGATGCGGTAACAGACCAGGCCATGATAGCCAGCATCAGAATGAGCCCCACCCTGCCCAGGTCAGAGCAGGGCCTCCCAGCTGACCCACAGGCTCAGAGGCAAACAACCAGCACAGCACTGCTTGATGGAAGTCTCTTTGGAAGGCCACTTGTTACAAAGCACGGATGTGGAAGTTGGTGACCTATACATCATAGTAAAAGAGGGTTTGTTTCTGAGCTCCTGCTTTAGGCTATGCAATTAAAGGTTGTGTGAGGGCAGAGGTCTGCCCTGGCTGCTGGAACTTTCTGGACATTCCTGACAGTACTTGGCACGTAGCGGGTATTCAGCAATCATTGTTAAATATACAGAAGCCAGACACTGCACTGGGTATTTGATGCCCACTGTTTAGTCAGGACTACACACATTCCCTCACTATTCCCATAATACAGACACAGGAACAGCCCAGAAGGAAAGGTGCTGGCAAGAGACCCCAGAGCTACTGAAATTTGAACCCAGATCTGATTCAGAAGTTGCTCTCTTCCCCACTCCCCAAATAAACAGCTAACGGTGTAAGACTTTCGCTAGGCTCTACTCCCTGCCATCCATGGTCTCCCAGGCAGCTGTCAGTTACCTCGTTGCTGATGGTGGAGTCCCTGTGCACCATCCGGTGTAGGTGGCTATCCAGGCTGGCCCCCGATGAGCACTTGGCCAGGGCAGCTGCATGGGACTCCCGCTCCCTCTGCCTCACGATAGCCTCACAGCCCAGCCACTCAGACATGGTCTGTGCGTAGCAGGCATGGATCTGCTCATCCACCTGTCAGGACACACACAACATTACCTGAGGTGCTGAGTGCCCTGGGCACACCCGGCACATCCTGGAAGAGAACAGCTCTGACCCATCCACACTCCTATAGTCTACACCCAACAGGTGTGAACTGGGTAATGTCCTGTACCAAGAAGTACAGCTAAGCAAGGCTGCTTCATTCCTTCCCCTCCCTCTCCCTCTCCCTCCTTCTCTGCTCCCTCCCTCCCTCCCTCCC